AGAGAGAGAGAGAGAGAGAGAGAGAGAGAGAGAGAGAGAGAGAGAGAGAGAGAGAGAGAGAGCACTGACAATGCTGCCAGTCTGAAGACTCTGACGTTCTGAATTGAACTGCAAAGTTTGAACTTTTAAGTTATATATGTGCAAGGAAAATAAGCAACAACGAGATGACAAATTCCATATTACACCATCACATTGAAAGCCAGATAGTCACACTGTGTCCAGAGAGCAGCATTGCACCAATAATACMCCAATGGAGGTTCGTAGTACTGAAAACCAATGTCAAGGAGAGCTTTCTCTCTCCGCCACAACACAAGAGTCCAGTCCCTTCTCACTCCTACTTGGCGCTCAGCGCCCAGCCTACTCCTACACAGCTACGATCAGCCTACTAGTAGACAATGCAACTGTTCACATCAGCGGCAACCTGAAGTACTTGAAGATGTCGCCCTTATGCAGACCATCGCCAATACAAGGTATGTCCCTCACATCATCATCATCATGCGCCCTTCCCTGGCTTTACACCCACGCATGTCCTCTCTTACACCCGAAGACCACCCCTGCGCCTCACTGTACATCCAAGCCCAGCTCGCTATGAAGGCTGGCTATGGCGCTGCCCTCAGCAGCGCCTTGCTTCAACACACGACCGCACGTGCGCAGCCTCTTGCTCCAATGCCATCAGCCAGCCCACGAGCTATCGCTCCAGCAGCGCTGCCGCCAGCCAGCAAGTGACCGAATGAGACTGCCAGGGAAGAGCTCTTTCCTTTATGGAAAGAGTTGGCCTGCTCGCGCAGCCTGGCTGCACTGGCCTGGGCCCAGAAGCTTCCGGAAGGCCCCAGGATGCTGCCTTTGCTCTGCAGCTACTGGGCCTCGTTCAGTTGGGCCTCCCAACTGTCAGTGTATGAGGCTGCGATTCACGCCCAGGGCCTGCATTCTTTGGAAAGGCCCGAGAGGCCGTGGAAATGTCTTTGTGGCTCGGCCTGTGTTTCTTTCAACCAACTGTCGCGTCGCAACTACCTGGACCCCAAATATGAAATTGACAGTCAAAGGCCTCTTGTGATAAGTTAGGCCCGCCTTCACTTAGGGCGGGCACCACTGCAACCGGGGCCCCTTACGCCTGCCGAGGACCCAGATCCTCCCATTCCCTCCTCCTTTACTTCGTTAGTCCTCTGAGAAGTCTCTTAGTCTGCAGGCATCTTCCCTTTCAGTTCTCTTTCATAGCCTGCTATCACTTGCGGTGTTGTTCTCATGAGTTCTTCTCGTGTGAACCAACGATCTTCCTTGGGATCGAGATGATGTCTGAAGCTCACACGGTACTGCATTCTCGGTTTAGGAGGGCGCCCTCTGCCTGATGGTTGAGGAACAGGCATTACTCGATGCTCCACGATCTGGTCAATGTCCACCTCGCCATCCATGGTTGGGGGGAGCATTGATCTTCTTGAGGGAAACTGGTCAGTAGCAGCGAACGGTGCCAACTTAGAGGCATGGAACACAGGGTAAGTGCGTAAGTGTGCAGGAATATGAATCACGTATGAAGGCCCAGGAATATGAATCACGTATGAAGGCCCATCTGGTTGATCCCCTACAATATCTAAGATTTCCCAGGGACCAAAGTACTATGGCATCAGTTTTCGTGATATCCCCATCTCCTGACCTAGTTCAGATGACTTTACCCAGACTCTATCACCTACCTGAAAGTTAGAGGGTCGTCTATGTTTATTCTCATATGCGATCATAGCATCATGAGACTTCCTAATATGTTCAACGACCTGCTGCAGCATCTGTTCATATTTGACAGCAAAGTCTATGCTGCCAGGTGCTGCAGTGCGTTGTCTTTCTGGTAGCAGAAAGTCAAGTGCAGTTTTGGGCTTGCAACCAAGATGTAACTGGTTGGGAGTCATACCGGTAGTACTGTGCACAGCATTGTTGTACAGGCTGGCGACGAGAGGTAACTTCTCGTCCCAGTCATCCTGACTTGGCTTAATATAATGCCGAAGCAGGTGTTGTACTACCCGGTTCATATGTTCTGCCTAGCCATTTGACTCAGGGTGATTCCCTGAGGTCATTTGGAGTTTTGTGCCCATCTGTTCAGCAGTCGACTGCCACAGTTCACTTGTGAATCTCACATCCCTATCACTAACGATGGATGTAGGCAAACCGAAATCTCGTACCCAATTATCCATAAACAATTTGATGACATAGTTAGTTTTAGCACTTTCAGGCATAGCGATCAGTCTGGCATACTTTGAAAAACGATCCACTATAACAAAGATGTGTCTCTTTCCAGACGTGCTGGTCACAAGCGTATCCATAAAATCCATAAACACACTTGTCCTTCAGGAATCGACAAGGGCTTGATCAGCCCAAGCGGAGCCTGAGTCCTTGGTTTGTCCCTTTGGCAAACCTGGCAGGTTTAAACATAGCGTTTTGCATCTAGCATCATAGAGGGCCACCAGAATCTATGTACTAAGTTCGCTGATGTCTTCTTGTATCCAAAATGACCAGTTGCATCATGGCATTCTCCTAAAAATAAACTACGCAACGACTCACTACTGGGAACACACAACCTTTTATTCCTTGCCTTCTCAAGAAACAACAAGCCTTTTACTGTCGTAAATTCGTCCAAAGTCTTTTTGTCCTTTGCTTGGAATCTACGGATGATCTCAGACATAACTGGATCTTGCTGATAGGCTTCCACCAATGATCGAGTTGGATCGCTAGATATGCCAAATTTTGTAACTAACGCGCCCTGATAATCTGCCCGACGAGATAACGCATCAGCCACTTTGTTGTACTCTCCCTTGATTGGATCAAGTTGATAGTCATACATGTTTATCACTTGTATCCATCTCTTGAGTGCATCAGAGAGCATGGGCTGTGTCTTGATCCAGCGCAAGGTTTCATGGTCAGATCTCACATAGAAGAATCTGCCTGGGAGATAATGTCTCCAATGAACCAGCGCTCTATACAGGGCATAGAGCTCACGCTCATAAGTGGACTTAGCTAGTTTTTGAGATGGCATCTTTTTGATCATATACTCGATAGGTCTCAACTTGGGCCCCTCCTTTTGCGCAAGGACTGCGCCAATGCCATATTGGCTGGCGTCTGTAGTCACGACAAATGGCTTATTAGGATCAGGAAGTTTAAGAACCTCATAGTGTGCCAAAGCATACTTCAGTTTCCTGAAGGCCGCCTCACACTCTTTAGTCCACTCCCAAGGGGTGTCCAATCGAGTTAGATCCGTCAATGGGGAAGCTATAGTACTATAGTTCTTTACAAACGGACGATAGTAGTCCGTCATCCCCAAAAACGATCTGACCTCAGTAACAGTCTGAGGTCTGGGCCAGTCACGTATGCTGGCCACCTTGGCATCATCCGGCCTCAGTCCATCTGCTGAGATTTCATGACCCAAGTACAAGATCTTGGTGCGACCAAACTCGCATTTCTCCAAGTTAACCTTGTACTGGTGTTGTCTTAGTAGACGTAGCACTGTTTTCAAGTGCTCAGCGTGCTCCTCTACAGTCCTACTAAAGATGAGAATATCGTCGAGGTACACAACGATAAACTTGTCTAAGAAGTCATGAAAAATCCTGTTCATCGCGTGCTGGAACGTACCAGGTGCATTGCATAGTCCAAAGGGCATCACCACAAACTCGTACAGACCATACCTGGTCTGAAATGCAGTTTTGTGCTGATCCTCAGGCCTCATGGCAATTTGATGGTATCCGAACTTTAGATCTATCTTGGTGAAGTACCGGCATCCCTGCACTTTATCCAAGAGGTCGTCGATGCGGGGTAGGGGCTCCACGTTCTTAACAGCGATGGCATTGAGGCCCCTATAGTCAATGCACATCCTCAAGGTACCTCCCTTCTTCGGTACGAATAAGACTGGAGCGTCGTAAGGGGAGGTACAAGGCCGAATCCATCCCTTCTCTGTGAGCTCCTTGAGTTGGCGGCGGAGCTCATCTAACTCCGCAGGAGACATCCTATAGATTCGTCCTCTAGGCACCTTACTACCTGGGACAACCTCTATTACATGGACAACCTCCCTTTCTACGACGCCTGTGGGCTCCTCAAAAAGGTTTGAATATTGTGCAACGACTGATTCTATCTCTGGGGTGTTTTTACGGCCTCCCCTTTCTCAGAGACAAATACTAAGTACATGCCCTCCTCCCGATTCTACTTATAGTAGTTATAGAAAGATGATGCACACATGCACCCGTAGTTTTCTATCAGACTGCTAGCTTTGTACTTCTGCAATCTAACAGTTCTACCATTGGCAATTTGTGGATCAACACCTTTCTATCCCAGTCAAACTGAGGTTGCGCGACCTCGAGGTAGTACATGCCTAAGAGCATATCAAAGGCAGTTCGTCGCTAACTAGGAAGGAGATCTTATGGCTCACTTTCCCTCCTCCATAAGAGAAGGTGCAGACTACGTCCTTGACACAGTCTTTTACCAACATTTGGTGCTTGTTGGCCAGCGTAGAAGCTACAGTTCTGCTAAGCCGCTGCACTTGGTCCCCTAAGCGCAGTCTATCCACACTAGCACGACTGATGAAGTTCCGTGTAGAGCCTATGTCTGCGAAGGCGCCAACCTTGCGGCCATCTACATCAACCTCTACCACGAAATGTTCACCTTTTGGACCTCTACTAATCATCGCCCAAGAGTCCCTGGGGTCCTTTCCTGACCACCCAGTCTCTAACTCTTCTAGAGCCTCAGACACATCTCTCGAACAGAGCGTCGGTGGGTCTGAATGTGTCTGCGGGGCGATGCGTGGGTCACTACCCTTGTCCAACGCCTGAAGTGGGGAAGGCAACGTTACCACTTCAGCGCGAGTAAGAGCGGCTAAAACTCCTACTGGCCCGAGGTGTTTCCCTGCGAAGTGCTCGCAGAAGCACCGCTAGAGTTCGAGGAAAGTCCCACCACCGTTGGTGAAGCTACCCTCGTGGTGACCTTCTTGCCTCAAAACGTTCTAGACGTGTGGCCAAAGTTGCCACAGTTCATACACGTGCCCCTGGCAACTCAGTCCCTCCAAACCTCGTACTCTAAACCAAGTTTTACCCAAGCGGGTGTTCCTTGGTCGCCCTGACCCATGGACCGTACTACCTTCTTCTTCCCGGTCCCCCTAGCCTTTTCTTTGATAGGCGCCACGACTCCCCCATAAGAAGTCTCACTAGCCCCATCATGCTCTGTCTCCTCCCCAAGGTCTGGGAAGTCGTCAATTTCTGTCGCCTGACCATCGTGGTCGACGAACATTAGTTGACCTTTCTTCTTCCAGTCTTGGGGTAGCCTCTTCTTCCTACCATCGCCCTGACTCTGATGCGCGGATCCCAACTTTGCCTCTATGTCTAAGGCTTTCTTGCTGAAAGAGGCGAAGTTGTGATGATCGACACAAGCCTCATCTACCAGCTTTGTCCTTACCTCTGAAGGCAGACATCTAAGGTAATCCGTGAGGAGTACCTGCTGGTCGTAGCGCACACCAGGTACCACAAGCAGACGTTCTACAGTGTCCGTCAGCTCTCTAACATTCTTGTACTGTCTGGCACAAAGACTGTTGATAACGTTAGTGGCCTTTTGAGCCCCTAGCGGGTCATGCCACCTTTTGTACATGGACTGTACGAACTGTTCCAATGTCTGGGCCTGAGCCTAGGCATTGAAGTTCTGACCGTAGCTTTGCTGCTGCACTAGGCCATTCAACCAACGGGCTGCTGACCCCTCTAAAAAGGAGGCAGCCACAACAACTTCTTGCTCTGGCCTGGTAAGCTTGTGCCTCACATAAGTAGGCACCGTCCTTACCCGGGTATCCAAATCCTCGTCCTTCTTCCTGTCGCCGGAGAAGGGCTTAGGACTCAACAAGGGTATTTTGGGCATCCACTGCATAGGCTACATGGGCCCAGGGGCCTGCTGCAGTGGCTGCATAGCCACCGAAACAAGTTGTTGCACACTAACCTGGGCCTGACTTGACAGTGGGACTGAAGTAACCACTGTTGTCGATGGTACGACTGAGACTCTCAGAACCAGACCACTAGTTGTTACTAAACCACCTGGAGGGGGCATGCCAAACATAGGTGAAAACGGAGGCCCTACCGGTGGCAGCGTCATTGATGGACCTGCACCTGAAGGGGGAACTACAGCATACGGAGGCTGCCTCATCAGGGGACGAGGAGTCCGTATTGCAGCCAGAATCTCTTTCTGGCCTGCCATTAGTTCAGCCAGCACTTCCTGCTGGACATCCTGCGCTTCTGCCACACAAAGAAGCGAGTTACGCAGCGCTCGTATCGCAGGGTCAAGAGATGACTCATCTAATGCTTTCAGTTTGCCTAGCTCCTCTCTCCTACTACCTAGTCTAGCTTTCCTCAAGATTGCTCTCTCCTTCTCCTCTCTGCTGCCTCATCCAATTGCCCCTGTAACTCATCCTGAAGTTCTTCTGTTTGGAGGATTTCATAATCCTCCGGCGTGAGTTGAGTCTGCTGGCTGACTCGCAAGCCAATAGTTTGGCTAATGGACCCCTGAGAACCACTATGGCTTACTCCTGACGAAGTGGACTGTGAAGAGGTTTGCGACATGGTAGATGAAGTGGCCATGGTTGTACCGGGTGCTAGCTATAGTTCTAGTCCTGGCACTATCCTCAGCCACCCTCACTCTCCTTGTTGCTGCTCTCTCTCTAGCCTCTCTCCGCAATCTCCTCTCGTCTCGTGGACCTAACTCCAAGAATGTCAAAGGCTGACTGCGAGCAGTCCCACGAGTAGTCCTACGGTCGTCCACTAACGACTCCTCACTTGTGCTTGCATTACTCATGAGGTACAGTGTGTGTGATCTAAACCTAGAATCCACACTGAATCCTACCTCAGCCTGACACACAACCGAGAATAATACACAACTGATTTCGGTCGGCCTGAACAGAAACAGTTAGGTGATGTAGCAACAACTAATGTCAGATCCTACAGGAAATATTATATCTATTTTTAGATTACCCTAGAACAGATTGCAATGCAGCAAAGAACTAATCTATCTCCAGTTGTCTGTCAGTTGTTAGTCAAGTCTGTAACAACTAGATAATCAAAAATAAAAATAACATCTCCTGTTGGAGATGTATGTTGAATGGCAGATGGTCTAATGAATGCCACTGTGAACAGTTAAAGGAATCCCCCCTCCCCCTGTATCCTTCTCGAGTTCTCTTTGTGTCAACGCCCTGAGCATCTGGTTGAGTAGAGTGTCTGAAGGTGTGCAATCCGTCCCACCCCTGTGCCCCAAGTCAACGCCGAACCTGCCAGCCCCTGCACATTATTTACCCTCGCATGCAACGAGCCTTACACCCCGTTTGATCTGGCTGATCAGGAGGCATTTAAGGAGATCCCCCGTAACTCCTCAGGAATTATTTAACGTCACAGACAGGACGACGATCACAGCCAGAGTCAACACCGAGTCCCCGCCAGAGTCAACACCGAGTCCCCGCCAGAAATATTTAAAGACGGTCTGGTAAGTGTCTGTCAAAGGGCTGGCATGCCCTGCATGACCTCTATTGCGCAAGCAGCAGAACCAAGGACTTGCGGCAAAGCATGCGTGTACTAGTCCCAACGGGTTGGCATGGTGACCGTGACCCGAGTGCTTCGTCCAGGACCCTTCAGAGGCTTCGCCCGTCTCCCACCAGCTTGCTGCCCAGGAAGAATGTCGACTCTCAAGGTTGAGCGCTTGCTACACCTCACATCGAGAGGACTCTCAAGACAGAACTCACTTCCTCACGGTGAGAAGCAATGAAGAGGGTAGATAAGGAAGAGAGCAACGTACCTCATAATGCTGCCCCCAACCACAAATTTTCTCACCGACAACCTGATGTGCAATTATGATGACCGGTCTTTGCCTCGGCACAACCAACAGCAGAATGCGGTTCCACCTCAGCTTCATATGCCACATCAGCGAGCTCTCACCATCCAGCATACACCCCGTATGTCACCACATAGCTCCCTGGCGCGCCCACACGACCCTGGGCCGCCCGTCGTTCAACGCCCAAGCCTTATCACTGCCCCACACTTCATGCGAAGCACCAAACAGCTATTGCGAAGAACCAATGAAGCGCAATATGAACCAGCTCCGATACCAAATTGCAAGGAAAATAAGCAACAGCGAGATGACAAATTCCATATTACACCATCACATTGAAAGCCAGATAGTCACACTGTGTCCAGAGAGCAGCATTGCACCAAAAATACACCGATGGAGGTTCGTAGTACTGAAAACCAATGCCAGGGAGAACTTTCTCTCTCCGCCACAACACACGAGTCCAGTCCCTTCTCACTCCTACTTGGCGCTCAGCGCCCAGCCTACTCCTACACAGCTACGATCAGCCTACTAGTAGACAACGCAACTGTTGACAACAGCGGCAACCCGAAGTACTTGAAGATGTCGCCCTTATGCAGACCATCGCCAATACAAGGTATGTCCCTCACATCATCATCATCATCATCCTGCGCCCTTCCCTGGCTTTACACCCATGCATGTCCTCTCTTACACCCGAAGACCACCCCTGCGCCTTACTGTACATCCAAGCCCAGTCCGCTATGAAGGCTGGCTATGGCGCTGCCCTCAGCAGCGCCCTGCTTCAACACACGACCGCACATGCGCAGCCTCTTGCTCCAATGCCAGCAGACAGCCCGCGAGCTATCGCTCCAGCAGCGCTGCCGCCAGCCAGCAAGTGACCGAATGAGACTGCCAGGGAAGAGTTCTTTACTTTATGGAAAGAGCTGGCCTGCTCGCGCAGCCTGGCTGCACTGGCCTAGGCCCAGAAGCTTCCGGAAGGCCCCAGGATGCTGCCTTTGCTCTGCAGCTACTGGGCCTCGTTCAGTTGGGCCTCCCAACTGTCAGTGTATGAGG